GTGCGTGTCTGCTGGCACTGCGGGCTAGCTGTGGGTGTGTCAGCCAGCCAAGCCAGTGCAGCAGGTGCCAGGAACGCCCCGCGTCAATGTGGCTCTGCAGGCATGGCAGGGCCTTCCTTCTGCCTTTGTGTCGCTGTGGGCGGGCGCCCATCGTGATTCGGTGCCGACATGCCGCCTTCCCGCACTTGCCCTTCCGAGCCACTCGCCGGAGCCTCCACACGTGACACCGCGTGCCGGCATCTCAACCAGACGTGCCTCCATCGCGTTAATGGTATTCGCCTAACCCAGGGCATCGGTATCGTCGACACGCGTGGACCTGCGTTCCCACCAATGCTGCCACGAAAGACGATAGGGGCGCGTTGATCGAATTGCCCGTCTGCTCTCATGTCCCCAAGCTAATGCACACATACCGCTGTTGCCGCCATCGACGGCCCCCCGCTCACAATGAAGAGCATGAAAGGCCTCTTGCACACGACCAGCCTGCAGGAAGCCCAAGAGCGACAGCAAGCTTCTTATGGTCCGGCTCCTCTTGCGGGCCAGAAGCGAAGCTGGTCAAACAACGACGGCGACCCAAATGAGCGGGCACACGTGTCCAACGGCCTCGTTCAGTTTCAACGTGCCGTCAGCCTCCCTGCGGCTCCAACCCGTTTGTCCGCGAGCAGCATTGTGAGTGCGCGGAGTCAGACAGACACATCCGACTACTCTCAGCGAAGGCTACTAGCAGCCACGCCGACCTCGTCCCGGGACCCAGAGCTGGACCTTGCCCACCGCACATACGATCTGCCATCCCAGCTTGTCCGCAACCTTGCCTCCCTAGGTATTAAACAAATATACCCATGGCAGAAAAACTGTTTGAAAGGCCCTGGGCTGTTGGACGGAGAGAGGAACCTGGTATACTGTGCTCCAACTGGCGGAGGCAAATCGCTGGTTGCAGACTGTAAGCCGTAGACGTTTGGCCAGCCCAAGGACAATACTGACTTCTGGTTCAGTGTTGCTGCTCAAGCGAGTATTGGGTGAGCCTGGCTGCAAGGCACTTCTCGTGCTCCCCTACGTCGCCCTGGTCCAAGAGAAAGTGCGTTGGCTACGGAGCGTCGTGCGCGACCTGCGTCTGCCGGAATGCCCGTCATATGACGAAGCAAAAGGTCCGTGGCGTCGACGTGCCGATGAAGGAGCCATTCGAGTAGTCGGTTTCTTCGGCGGTGGCAAAGTCAGGGCGACGTGGGACGATTTCGATATCGGGGTGTGCACCCTGGAGAAGGCTCGTCAGCTTCCCAGCACAGGCGTGACACCTGCTAATTCTTTGCAGGCCAATGCTCTCGTGAACCAAGCTATTGATGACTGCTCAATTCCTAAGCTTCGAGCCGTTGTGCTAGACGAGCTACACATGATTGATGACGATCACCGTGGGTACCTGCTGGAGCTCATAGCTACGAAACTTCTCAGCATCGAGCAGCCCATACAAATTGTAGGCATGAGTGCCACTCTACCGGTACGTCAAAGGCCTTGTGCTCGTATGGTGGAAATGGCTAATGATCTCCCCCGCAGAACATGAGTCTCATGGCTGAGTGGCTAGATGCCCACTGTTACGAAACTCGTTACCGGCCAATCCCAATTAATGAACATCTCGTGTGCGAAGGCAAGGTGTTTAATGTTGAATCCGCTGGCACTCGGTCCTCTTCCAATACCCAGCTCAGCAGTCGATGCTTAATGGCGGGGCTGATCTCACCAGACAGAGAGGTCACGAAGTCTTCGCACAAGGAATTCTCCGACCCAGTCCTCAATGCCGTCGTTTCGCTTGCATATGAAACCGCCTTCAACGGACATGGGGTATTGGTTTTTGCAGGCAGTCGCGGCGTATGCGAGTCGGACGCTCGTTGGATCAGTCGCGTCATGCCTGCCCCGCATTCAATCAGTCCAAGGTTGCTCGAAAAGCGGTTGGATCTGCTCGGCGAAATGCGGAGCTTAAGTACGGGTGTTGATCCCGTGCTTGAAGAGACGGTTCTATACGGAGTGGCTTTTCACCGTACGTGCCTCTGCACAGCCCAACAAAACGGCGCTGCCCCGTTACAACGCCCAAGCTGACAGATACACAGATGTAGGTTTTCAGCGTTGGTCACTATTGCAGCTTGTACGCTGATAAACCAGGCTGGCTTAACTAGCGAGGAAAGAGATTTGATATCTGCGGCCTATGATGCTGGAACGCTTGTCGTTTGCGTCGCCACATGTAGTTTGGCGGCCGGTATCAACCTGTAGGTCACGCGTGCCAACATCGCTCTTGAACTGTAATCTGATCATGTGAAGTCCGGCACGGCGAGTAATACTGCATAATGCGCGCATGGGCCGAGACTTTATAGGACCGTCCATGCTGAGGCAAATGAGAGGGCGCGCTGGGCGCCAAGGCAAGTCCCCAGTTGGCGAGACTTACTTGTGTTGTCGCGAGGTCGACTTGGACCAGGTCCTGGATCTCATGCGAGCTGAGATACCCGAAGTTTCAAGCTGTCTGAATACCGAAAATCGGCGCATACAGCGGTGAGTGCCCCTTTACTCCGATGGCATCCTTGTGTGATCTAACCAGCATAAAGCGCACTTTTGGAGGTAGTTTCGACGCGACTGGCTACCAACCACGAGTCAATTTGTGACTACTTCTCGAAGTCGCTCCTTAGTCACTCGCACGGAGTAGAATTTGTGCACGAGTGTCTTGAAAAGAGCCTGATAGAGGTCCAGAGTATGGGTCTCGCAACCGGAGACACTGCAGACGGTCTCGTTCCGACTCAATTGGGAAGGGCTATTGTGGCCTCTGCAATTGACCCTGATGACGGAGTCTTCGTCCACCGCGAACTCACGAGGGCGCTTAGAGCCTTTGTGATGGACGGAGAGATGCACATCTTGTACGTCTTTACGCCGGTTCAAGACTTCGGCGTAATTGTCAACTGGCAAGTGTTCCGCAACGAGATGGAGGCACTGGACGAAAGCGGCCTGCGTGTGATGAATTTCTTAGGGATCAAGCCAACCTCTATCCTCAAGCTGTGAGTGAACCCCTGGAGGATCGGCGTGCCGAGCCCTCTGACACCGCACAGAGCCCAGGGCGCGACTTTGAAGGAGAACACGTCAGAGGAGAAAGAACTGGCCCGTGTCTACCGGCGTTTCTACCTCGCACTCCAGCTGCGGGACTTGTGTAATGAAACTCCGATACATGTCGTTTCTCGCAAGTACGACGCGCCGCGTGGTACAGTCCAGACCCTGTCCCAGACATGCCAGGGCTTCGCTGCAGGGATGATCAAGTTCTGTGACACCATGGGATGGGGGTGAGTGCTCGACAGCCTGCAGTCGCGTCTAGACGCACACAAACTGACTCACGGGACCCTCTGCAGCGTCATGGCTGCAGCCCTTGAGCATTTCTCGGATAGGCTCATGGCGGGCGCCAGGGCGGATCTCTTGGCCCTGGCAAAGATACCATTCATCAAGAGCCGGACGGCGTACGCGCGCACTGACACGCCCCTCGAAAGTTGATACAGGATGCTGACTCGTTACCCAGCCGAGTCTTTTGGGAGAGTGGCTACCGGAGCGTCGCATCTATTGCCAATGCTGACCCCAAAGAATTGCTCCCCGTGCTCATGCAGGTGCGTCAATTTTAGTGGCCGCAAATAATCGTGATGCGCTTGGCCGCTGACCCTGTAGCAGGCGCAGCCCAACAAGATACGCTTGAAGGGGAGAAACGACGAAAAACTCGAGGAGAAGTTACTGGCAAAGGCCGAGATTATCACTACGGCAGCTAATCGACTCTGGCGTGAGTGGAAAGACCCTGCTTTGGCTCGTTATAACACCGCTTACAGCCATTGCAGAAATCCAGTTGCAGGCAGAGATGGAGGAAGAGTAGGACGAAACAGCGAGAGGGGAACACTGGACCGTCACGTCTCCGTCGTCGAACCACCACCCCTGGCACCGGTGTTGTTTCATAGACCCGATTGGCAGGGTAAAATGATGCGACAGGGTTCTCTTACCTCCGCTTCCGCTATATCTACATTTTACCATGCTCGTCTAATCCAGGACATCGTCCCTCAAGCTAAAGAGTTGCTGAAGAATCTCATCGGACTTGGCTCGCACACCGTTGTGATATACGACATTGGTCTCAAACACCTTGGTGCCCCTGACCAACCTGGCAGTGTCCCTGGCGAGGTTGCACTCCACGTACATGTCCTCCACATACGACGCTGCGTACACCGGGACCTTGTTATTGCGCAGACGCTCTTGATCGTAGAGGTGCGGCCAATCTGTCCTCTTGGCAAGCTTCTCTGCCACGTCCCGCAGAGACTGTAGCTCTGGATAGGTCTCGAAATGCAGTGGGAAAATCATCTCACCAGAGAAGAACAGTGGCTCCGTAGATGTCGCGCAGACGTAGCCCGGGTTGAGCCACGAAAACTCCTTGAGCGCCTTGCCGACACGGTAGGCGGCCCAGTCGGAGGGAATGCCGTCGCAGTAAATGGCCTCGTGAAGAATCGCGTATATGATGTTGGTGTCGAAAGGAGTGAAGGTCTCGAGGGGTTGCAGCGCGGCCCGCGTGAAGAAGCCGAACTGGTCTAGGGACGTCTTCAGGTGCATGAGAGTGCTGTGAACGTTGTCGAAACCGCCATGGCCGCCAAAGGCGATGCCGATGGTCAGCAGACGGGGCACTGTCAGTGTGCCGCCGGAAGGAAGGGCAATGCCGCCTTCGCCCTCGATGTAGGCAGCGAGCTGACGAAGCACCTCGACGTCCTCTGGAAACTTGGTGAAGTACTGCTCGTTGCGCTCAGCCGTCTTGCGAAACGTGGCGCCATATACCTGCTCGGGCGTCTTTCCAACGGGGGCGAGGCCGCCGGTCAGGAAGGCCTCGCGCAGGCCCTCGGGGTGCATGGAAAGGTATGACAGAGTGACAAAGCCACCATAGGACTGGCCAAATGTGGACCAGGCGGCCTTGGCCTCGGGCCAGCCCTCAGTGAGGCACTTGCGGACGGCCTCGCAGTCGCGGACCGTATTGTCCTGGCGCATGAGGCTGAGGTATCGCGCCTGAGCGTCGACGTCGCCTACTTTGGCGAGCATGGCAGCAGAGACGGGCGTGCTCATGCCAACGCCACGGTGGTCGATGAAGAGCATCTGATAACCCCTGGCCAGGGCGGTGCGGGTAACGGGATGGTCCTGAGGCTCCCTGTTCCCGAAGCCGGGACCGCCCTCGAGGTACACCATGTACGGCTTGAGCGCGGCATCCTGCTTCTTGTCGTCGCCCTCGACGTCGGGCGGAAAGATGGGCACCTCACGCTTGTTGGCGCGGCGGGCGAACAGGGTTATGGTGCCGGCGGAGGGGTTCTCGTAATCGAGCGGCACCTCGAAGAAGAGCTCCGTGACGAGCAGCTGTCCGGGGACGACATGGCTCCGGCTGCTGAGGAGCTTCGCCGCGGGAATCTGCACTGCGGTGTTGGGAGCCATGGCTGTCGCTGCGACTCTGGGCGAGACAGGCGGCGGGAATGCAGTGGGTGAGGGCAGCGGCGAGAGGGACAGGTGGATCTGCAGCGAGTGATGCTCGTACATGAGCCGTGCGGAGCGGCCAAACACGCCGACAGATGGGACAGGTCGGGAAGGAGGTCAACAAATATACCCCGTGATTTCTATGCCGACACCACGGATCCTTTGTCGAGGCGCGCCCGTTGCATGCACCGGCCATGGATGACTTCCTTTTATTCACGTAACTTGCACCCCGCTTCCCGTAAGGGTCGCTCCACAGGGAGGTAGTACCTGCCTATATTACCCAGGTGTGAAGTTGGATAAATCCATGGATGGGTTGGGCTGCCCACTAGCACCACCGCAGCACCACCGCAGCACCACCGCCGTGGCTGCTGGCCGGGCCGCCGAAGGCGGGAGCGGGGCCACTGGCGCGGGCTTCCGTGTTCGCTCTATCTCGCTGGGCCGTTGGAAGCCATGGCCTGTGCTTGGCGTCGACTTGAAGCCCTGCCTGTACTCCGTTCGTCTTCAGGCATACCGGCAGCATAGGACGATGCGTCGGAGCTATGGATGTTGCTTGCTGGCCGTCCGGTACACGCATTGACAGCTGGATGGGCTGTTGCTGGTTCCAGCGCGAAGACCAGTTGATGACAGCTGCGTGGTGGTTGGTGGTCAGACTGGTCTCGCAAGCTGTAGAAGGACACTCGGACGACGTGGAACCGATTCTCGTCCCCATGTCCACTATGACAACGGGCTGGTGCAAATGTTCTCACTACGGTAGACCAGCTGTCTCTCAACAATTTGCTATGCAGGGACTGCGCTATCTGGACTCGCGCATCAAGGCTGCCACCAGCCTCGGGCGGTAGATTGTCATCCAGGCCGCTGACGATCCCCTTCTCAGTGTTGGCAAGGAGGGCTAGCTACCGACGTGCCCACTTGACCGGTGTACCAGCAGCGTCGGGGACCGGGCCAAGTTTACCGGTGCGCCTGGAATGTAATCATGACCTTTGAGGCGGAGACCCTGGTAATTGCGGTGGTCTGTGGCGGCTCGTCGATACTATACTGGCCGATGTAGATGTATTGTGTATCGTTAGCAGACTTGGCCGAACCACAGGTACTTTTGCCGATCCGACTCCGAGCCGAGAGGCCGCACCAGGTCGTCGTCGCGTGGGTGCAGCAGGGTCCAGTGCGTAAGTCCGCGTCTTTGCCACATGCCTTGCCAGGCCAGACAGACTCTTGATATTCGGCCTACTTTGACAACACAAGAAAAACTCTGGGTGCCTACAACTTGGATCGCATGCCTGCAGCTAAAACTCAGGTAAGGTTGTCAGGCAAGGTGCTAATCCGACCTGTATCTTAACTCCGCCGAGACCTGATGGCAGGACTCCGCAGCAGGTAGCGCTGCGTGCCTGCTGGGGACCTTTAGGCCGTCACTGGAGCGGGACTTCGGACCTGTAAAAATCCGCGCTGGCAGGCTCCATCGGCCTGTTCTTTCCGTTACCTAACCCCCGCCAACCGGTGGAGGCCCTGTTGCTCCGTCCTCTTTTTCTGCGCATCGCCCTTCCTGCCTTCTTCCTCTCTCTCTTCTGTCCATCTATCCCTCTCGTCGTGGGTATGGACCACATCCAACTCAGTCACACCCTGGCCGAAGCTTTCAACGCTCTAGCCGACGAGGTGCAACACTTGGCCGATCGCAAGACGGTCCTCGAGCACAAGCTGCGCTTTGCCCACGAGCAGGTGAGTCGAGTCTGCACGCTTGTTCTGTTTCGCCCCAACTGCCTCGGTCTCCCCATCCCCAAACGACCTATCCTGCCCAGCAAGCCCCGAGACCGGACCCCTCGGAACGTCGCCAAAAGACAAAAACATGATGAGATATCATTAGCTCTAGATCAAGAGCAGCACAGTCTGCAGAGATTGACAACTTTTACACCTCTGAACTTTGGTCTTGTCGACGATGATTTTTTCCTTCTACGCACCCTTCACTTTCAGTTGCTTCCAATCATCGCACGACTTTACCACGGGTGCAGTAGCTAACGCGCCGCGCGCTCGTTGCAGTTCCAGTATTTGGCCGATAAATATGCACCGGCGACGCCAGAGATAGCCGAGACCCTGGCAAAGCTGCAGCTGCCACCCCATACCTCGGTCGACGAGACTTCACCCGTCCCTCTTCCGCAGCGTTCCACGCCGCAGTCGCAGCACCAACTGGCTCTTGTTATTCGCGACGGACGCCGGGCGGCTAGTCAGCTTGCCTCTCTGGGGGAGTCGAGCAAGACCACCGGGTCCAGCAGGGAAAGTCTGTCGCACTCCACCCGCGACCAGACGTCTATGTCGACGGCTCTGGAACAAGACTTCACAGTTCAAGGGAAGAAGGGCAATCTGCAATGTCCCTTCTCCAAGACGGCAGCCGGGGTTAACGATGAGGCGGCGTCTGGGGAGGTGTCCGCGACTGGCCAGCAACAGCATGCCGTGGATGATCCCATCTGCATGGCCATGTACGAAGAATCCATGTCGCAGCCCCCTCCGAGTGGCACTGGAGCCAGCAAGTGTCCTATTCGCTTCATGGACAGGCACTCACCTGAGGAGATTGCACATTACGTCGAGACGCACAAGCACGAGTTGCCGCGCAGTCATGAAGTGTGCCTCCGGCGGTACCAGAAGAGCGAGGATCAAATGAAGAAGCTGGACTCCAAGTATGGCAACATAGTGAGCATGATTGAGGGTCTTAGCCATCTCCATCAACCCATGCTTCCTGAAGAAGAGCAACAGCAACAGCAGCGCCGACGCAGCGATGTCGATCGGGCATCAAATGAGCGCGTCGAGAACTGGGCCCACGCTGTAACAGCAACTGCCACACCACACGTGGATGAAGAACAGGCCCAGGACGATGCCGATCGCCAGGGCCATTTCGATCGGCCGCTCAAGGAAGTCCGTGTTGGGGAGTCCCCCAGCCGGCCTTGGGGTATCTCTGTTCCCATCTACGAGATGTCTGGGCCCGAGCACGAGCATCCCATGTCACCGCCTGCCGCGCCCGTTCGCATGCCTAGCCCGCTTCAGCGACCACAGTTGCCATCTCAAGGAGCTGGCAAGTGTCCTTTCGACCACACCAAGCTTGCGGCCCTGAAAGAACTCGCAGCGGCGGCAAAGCCCGAGGAAAAGGCCATTCCGGGACCTAATGTCGTTGACGAGTCTCCCTTCACCACCGGACGAGCGACGGCTGGTCCTGCTGCTGGTCCCACCACACAGCCTGCGTTTATCAACCCAGTGGCATCGAAGGAGGCTGCTGGAGGCGTGCCACAGATGGTCTTTACCGGACCTGTCTTCATTGGTTATCCCATGGACCAAGCGATTCAGTTTATGAACCAGTTCCGTGGGAACTAGTAAATTGGCGCATGGGTTTTCTGTTTTACCCCCTTATTGCGCAGCGAGTTTTATTGCACATTTTCAGCAGGGCTTCATGAGTATTCGCCCAAACCTTTCACTTTGATTCAGCGACGGCGTTTGGACCCGGCAAGGGCAATAGTGCATTTCGGCATAGGGGTTCGGGTTCACTGATGGATATATGGAATGATGGACGATAGTTATAATGATGACGACTTGTGTTAAATGCACTCATATGATGTACTATTGCATCCATATCTCATTGCCAGTAGTCTACACAGTTGAAGCATGGTGAAGCCAGCCAGCGCCTATCTTGTCTATTGACTGAATATGCCAAAGTGAAGCCCAAACGTAATGCACTTCTTGTATTATGCCCAAAACACGAGACGCTGAAAATTGGCCGTTGACAGAAAAGAGGCATCAATCGCTGGCGCCGTTTTTCTTCGTCTTTTGTACGTCGTCGGTGATGTCGTCGTCATGGTAGTCTTCGCCCCACGAGTCCGCGCCTTGAGTGTCCCACAGCGACAGATCGTCGTCGGACATGATGGCCGCGGCGTCCTCGGGATCCAGAAGCGTCGCCTCCGTGTCCTCGTACCCGGCGTCGCCATCCTCGGCGGCGGCGAGCTCGTCGGCCGCGCCGCCCTCTTCGCGCTGGAGCTCGGCGGCGCGGGCCATGGTGCGGCGGTAGATGGCGAGGCCGACGAGAATGCCGATGATGCCGCCGATGATCATGCTGAGGTAGTTGATGGCCTTGTCGCCGGCGGTCATGGAGTCGCCCTGCTCGGCGAGGACGGCGAGGCGGCTGCCGATGAAGACGTGGACGAGCAGCTTGGGGCTGTCTCCGTGGTTAGCAGTGTGAAGGGCAAAACATCTGGAGGGGAACAAACGAACCTTGACAGCGCCGTGGAGACGGCAAAAGACATCGGAGTGATGCTCGGAATCGTGGCCAAGAAGCCGTTGCTCAGACTAAACGGCAGCGGGCAGAACCGGATGCCTGTCAAATACAGGATCCCCTCGTGACGGAGCACCTGCCCGAGTGCGACGAAGCGGTGGTCCCGTCCGACCATGCGATCGACGTAGCCGCTGAGCACCGTCCTGCTCGCGAGAAACGCGCACAAGCTGCCGAGGACACACGCCGACGCAGCGATCGGCCAGCCGAGGGGAAACCCGTATATGAAGCCCGAGATGGTGGTGGCGGTGGAATAGCCAATGACGGGGGGGAAGGCCGTCACGAAGATGAGGAAGAAGATGAGGAGCCAGCCGCCGGGCCGGGCGCGCCACGACTTGGAGTAGGGCGCCAGCCAGGCGAAAAAGCGATGCGAGTAGACGAGGACGAGGATGATGACGACCCAGCCGAGGACGCAGGCGAGCGCGGCGAGCGCGCGGTAGAGCGGCGAGAGACGCATGTACGCGGCCACGACCTGCTCGCTCCATGACAGGTAGAGCTTCCACCCGCGGCGGGCGAGGTCGCGCGGGTGGTAGGAGCTGCGCGTGCGGTGCGCGCGGTCAGAGAGCCGCCGCGAGGAGGCCATCCCGTGTCGTGACCAGCGCGCCGTCGGCGCAGGCGACGAGCGGGCCGAGCTCGAGGCCGAAGATGAGGCTGGCTGCGGCGAGCGGCTCTGGCCGCGGCTACCCCCGTCACCACCACCGCTGCCGTTCACAGCAGCGTATCCCGGCGTCGGCATTGCTGGTATATATGCTCGCGTGTGTATATGTCTGTGCAGTCGCTGTGGGAGGCGTGCTTTCAGCCAGGAAGCGTCGTCGTCGTAGTCGGAAAGTCCACCTCGGCGTGGTTCGATCGACAGCGCTCAGCGACGATGGGTTGCAGATCAATCAGAGCTCCCGGCCGGCTTCCCGTGCCATTCCGATCGCAAGCTGCGTGTCTGACGTCGGAGCGAATGTGTTCGGATATCGCGCACGTCGAAGCGATGGGGGTGAGAGGCGACGGTACTGCGTCTCGATCCTGCGCTGCCTCCACGTCGTGTCCTGCAGCGTCCCCGTTCGAGCGTCTCGGCTCCACAATGCAGGGTCGGCCGTCGGTCGTCTCGGTAAGGCCGTGTCACGGCAGGGTCGTGGACTGCTCCCACTTTTGTCTTGTCTTCTTAAAAGCACGTCAGGGGAAACTTCAACAAGGGGTTCGGCGGGATTGATCAGTCGTGGATGCTGGGAGCAGTTACGCCAGGGAAACAGTTCTGGCTATGGTGTGTGTAGTTGAGAGATTCGCGGCGGCGCCGAGATGACGACGTGCGCGGCATGAACGGCGGAATTAGAACTTCCATGCCCTGGGCTGTCTGGTTGATGGCCGACTAGGTACCTATTAGGGGGTCAGACTTACGTCAGGCCGCTGAGGCTCGGCGCCTCAGCGTTGCAGCGGCTGTGCCCGCCCCTGTTTCGGACTCGCAGCCCGGAGGCTCAAGCGATCCAACAACTTGGAAGGCGCAAGTGCTCCAACCTGTCTCGGCTTGGGATCCGTGATCGCCGCGTCGTGCGCATTCATTTACAACCATCGTCCAACGACTCCAGCCATTCTCACCCCAGCGCACTCCCCTATTGCGACGGGGCCCAAGACGATGTTATAGTTGCAGAGACTGTTCGCAATATAACATCACGCTGACTTCAATCGACACACAAAGATTAACATACATCGTCTCGCGGGCGAGTGTGGAACGTCCTTTCGCTTCATCTGGATATGTCTGGATTTTCGCTTTTTACGGTTTTCGCTCTTAATCGTCACCGCTTGCCGCTTGGGCCCTTGGGAGGATCCCGCACAAGCAGCCTGACCTTGCCGTCTCCGATCTCCACGCCCTGACTCAGAATATCAACCTCCTCCTTGTCCTCGGTGAGCGCAGCGCCACCTCCCCCGTCTCGCGTGAGCGACTTATCCCAGCTACGGCTGTCGATACCGAGGATGCCACCCATGCTGTTGCGGTCCCCCGGTACGGAGAACTCGCGGTACGCATACCGCCATTCGTTGAGAAAATTGCGGATAGCCCTGCCCACCTTGTCCTTGCCGTTCTTACTATGGTGGCCTGTGCCCGTGATGGCGTAGACGGGCTTCGATTCTTTGCTGTTTTCCATCAGAACCTTCTCGAGGTACTCGACCGCTTCCTCAGGGTGGAGGCCATGCAAGTCGACGTAGATCTCCAAAGAGTTGCCAAGGCCGCCCTTGTTTCGATGTTCGTAAAGCTCGCGCGCCGCCTCCCGATGTGCCTTGCGCATCAGATCGTTCTCGCTCTGCCCTCGAAGGCTCAAGGCCTTAGCGGCTCTCGCATCATTGCGGTTCCATGCTTGCGCCGCGCTGTGAGTCCGTTAGCACGCTGCGGCTATTCGCATTATGTCATGACTAAATACCTCTGGAGAAACTTATTTCGAAGGCCCCCATGCTTGATAGCTTCTTGGCGAGCCTTCAGATAAGCCTTGTTGGCTCGTTCACCCGTCTCTAGCCAAGGAATGTGCTTTGGGCTCGGAATGGCCTGCGCGGCTGGGCTATTTTCACCGGTCCGGCCCGAGGCTGCAGCTCCATTCGTCCCAGACCTCCTGGATTCAGGGCGGGATGGCCCCGGAGTGGGCGATGGTGACCGCTTGACAATATCCGCGAGCGAGCTCGGAGCGAGGTTCTCCTTGTGGTTGTGGCCGTGGCCACCTCGCTTTCCGTGATGTTTCTTTCCTTGCCGGACGGACGCAGATCCAAGGGATGGAAAAGCCTCGTTGTCGTCTATGGCTGGAGCAGCCACGGTGATGTCCTTGGCCTGCTGCCGGCTTCCGGGCCTGGATCTCAATCGCGGGCTCTCCGTGCCGAGAAAGCTTCGTGGGCCAGGCGGGGGGTTGAAGCCTGCAAGCGCCAAGGTAGCTGGCCGTAGAGACGGGCTGTCTTGCTGGAGGGCTGGGAACGAGTTCGGGTCATGTAGCTGGGGGTTACCCTGGCCCTTGTTCGCGCCAGCTTCCTCGAGTGACAGCTTGCTGAGCAGTTTTGAAGGGTCATGGGAAAAGATGCAAGTGTCGCCGGCAAGACAATTCCCCGTCACCCAATATCTAGTTGCGAAGTGTTAGATAGGCGCGATCATTCCCGATGGAGGGGAGGCCGAAGCAGGAGAGACTCACTTGCATAAATGGCTGCTGAGCTCGTGGCTGAAGCGGCAATCTGCGCGGAGACACTGACCCGTGGACATGAAGAATTTACAGATGACACCGGACTTCGGAGGGCCTGAGGGTGTTGAGGGACGGCCATCCGAGTAGATGGACTTGCCAATTAAGACGCCCTTGGGCTCCTCCACGGGCACGGGCGCCAAGCCGCCTTCCTGACCCTGAGCCTCCATTATAGCAGCAATGGTGGCACTGAGGTCGTAGCCATGCATGGCCAAGGCGGACTCGATCTCTTCATCTGTACGGGCCTGTCCGAGTATAGACCGAAGCATGTCATAGGGAGACATGTCGGTCTGCTGCGAAGACATGGAAGAGAACTCTGGCGCAGCGGCGTTGAGGCCACTCGGGGTTCCGACCGACGAGGAGACACTAGCTGCATCGTCGCTTACCAGCCACTCCACGTTCTCGGCTTGGTAGTCGCCCAGAATTTCCGTGGCAGGTGTGGAGTCGCTTGCGAATTCATAGGCGTTGAGGTTCGGGCTATGAGGGATGACGGGTGTGGCAAGAGCCAGACGGGGAGACGCTCGTGGAGATGAAAACGGTGATGCAGTCAACGATTTGGCCCGGCCGAATGTCGAAGGCACAAATCCTGGAGGGGCAAGTGGACTCACACCGAGACGCGGTGATCCGGACATTGGAGTCGGAGATCCGCGCCACGAAGCGGGGGACGGCCGGCGGAGGATTGACTGTCTGATGGGAGTAGGCGAAGTCGAGGCACCTCCCGCTTCGCGATATCGCCATAGGGCATCGAGTACGACATTGTCCAGAGACGAACCCGTAAGGTTCGTCTCCTTCTTTAGGAGCTCCTCGAGTCTGTCGGTCTTATCCTCATCCTCGAGTGTAGGATCCTGCAGTATGGGCAAGCATAGTTCGTAGTGTTCGTCCGAGACCATGATGCCAAGCCCTCTCCGGAGGGTCTGTCGAAGACGTCGAGCGGGCGTTGATGAAGCAGGCAGGGGTGGTATCACGAAGTGAAGGAAGCTGACGTGGTGCCGGGCGGCTTCCCCAGGCTACAGAACTGGGGCAATGCAGTATCTCGTGTAGGCCGTCTGTGTAACAGTCGAACTATGCAAAGAAAAGCGCGGCACAAGTGGCTAGAACTGTTCCGCGAGGTCGACGTGTCAGTGCTGAACTTCGTGACGCGTCGGTGACTGGGCACGACGCAGCTAAGCGAACAAGGCGGGGGGCCGGAGCTCACATCAGAGATAAAGAAGCAAACGCGTTGATGCTAAAGCGCCGCGGACAAGAAGTCCGGCGAATGCGCAAGCGGGCAAAGCCAAAAACGAAGCCGAGGCGGAGGCGAAGGTGGAGGTGGGCTGGTGACGAAACAGCGGAACACAAGCCGAGAAGGAGCTCACATTGCGCCGCCGAGGCTCCACGGCGAACGATAAGGGAGCTAGTAGAGTGCGTGCGTTCCCGGCGTTCCCTGGCGTGTATCGCACGAGCCCGGTGCCTGCTTTGGCGGTGCGGGGGCAGAGTCGGCGCTCGCGGCGGTTTGGCGGCGACAGCAACGAGGCGTCAAGAGGAGGGTAAGGAGAGGTCGAGGTCGAAGGTGAGGACAGTGGAGGCCCCGCCGCGCGTGGTGGAGTCGTGTTGGCGCTGCGTCTGGTGCTTGTCTGCCGACCGACCCCCCATCCATTCATTCACTCAGCTACCGCAGGTACCTTAGGTAGAGCGGGCACCGAACAAATCAGGCGGGGGCCCAGTCCAGATGGCAGCTGGGACTGGAGGTCACCTAATCTGCCCACCTACCTAAGGTAGTACCTAGGGGAGCACCCGTCGTCCTGGAGCACCCGCCTAGCCCTGCATAACAGCATCCATGGAACCCGCTGGCGCAGGCACGTGCGAACTTCATTTGGTACCCAACCCATGGTCCAGTGCTGGGCGTGCCTTGGTTGCGGCGCCTTACCTACCGTCACCATCTTCGTTGTGTGCAACCTTGGTTGGTCATCTCAAGGCTCTCTCGTTGCCCGCCAACCTTGTGCGATCTCGTAGACGCTGGGGATGTGCAGCGATGCTTTCTGCGCCCGGCGAAGGAGGCCCCAGCAATGATTGGACATCGATAGCCGGAAATACCAGCGTTACTCTTGCTCCGACATACATACCATCATTTGCTGGCCGTTGCTGCCCTTGTTGAGACCTCGATGAGACGCCCGCGATAATCCCATGCGGCCAAGTCGGGGTCAATAGGGAGCGTAGACGAATTATAGAACCACCCTAGCAGTCGCCTGTTTTGCATCCCGCTTACAATATATGTATACAGTTCCAGTTTCAGGGCCTGGGTGCGCTCAAGGTATCTCATCCTCGTCGTCACCGCCAAATCCAAAACTGAAGCCTCCTGATTCCTGAGCCTCTTCATCGCGGCCGACAGCCGTATCCCACTTTCGCTTCTTGCCACTCTTCCTATCCACGACCTCTAGGGCCTTATCCAGCACTTCAGGGTGTTCCGATCGGAGCCTCCCGATGAACAGCTCATAAGGGTTCGCGACGTCTTTGTCGAAACCGGAGACCTGGTCTGGCTTGTCTTTGAGAAAGGCTAGGACTTCTGACAGCAGGTTGAGGCTCGGCGACTGCGGAACAAAGTTCTGCGTAAGAGCGATGCCGCTTTCGAGATTCACAACAAGGTGCCACCAGCCGCTTGGGACATGGAGGATCTCTCCAGCCTCGCATATACCTTCGATGCATTCTGGCAGTTGACGCGCCTCTTGGTGAAAAGTCAACAGCCACTCGGCAATGCTCAAGGGGCTTGTAACTTCGCTACTGTCCTGGGATACGTATACTCCGGGAACTTGCGCTGCTGGGGGAAACATGATCCAGTATTTAGATCCTTGGATGACCGCGTTCCATGCGCTGGTACCGTTGGGGTCCTTATGAAATGTCGAACCACTCCTCTCCGGTCCGACAATCAGCCAACGATGGGCTGGGCGCTCACGCCCGAGCACCTCGAAGAGATCGGGACCGAAGCAATCTGGCCTCCAGTACGCCGAGCCGGCGTCTTTTCCGATTTTGATACCCATTTTTTCTGCAAATTTGCGGTCGAAAAGGTACAAAGGGCTCTCGTCGATGTTGTCCCGCATGTACTCGCAATATCTTGAGAACGTCCAATCCACTGCCTCAGCTCGGAAGTCAAGTTCGGCGTAATCTGACAGAAGTTGATCGATGGTCCATGTGGAGGTGACAGGCCATTCTCGGATGCACTTCGTCAGAATAAAAGGCTGCTCGGTCCATCGCTCAGCATACTGTTCATACGTGAGATTGTCGAAGCGGCGGATCTGGTTTGCCTTGGGTATGTTGCGAATGAATTGCCTCAGGTTGATGTTGGAGCAGGCGAACGGCCGGTGTAATACGTCGGAGAAGACATTGCTGCAGTCGACGATGGCTTCAGACTCCTTGTTCAGGTTCATCAACGTTCTTCTCCAAGTGCCTCGCCATCTCAGCGCTCGACTAACTTCAGGCGGAAGCCTAGACCATACTATGTCAGCATAACCAGTGTTGCATCGCTGGAAAAGCCGTTAAATGAACAAATAGTACATAAAGATGGCTCTCCTTTCACGGGTTTTCAGAAGCACGTGTAAGCCCACCAGAGTGGCGCGGGCAAACTCACTGGAGAAACAGCGCCTTCCAGATCTCATCTAGGTGGCAAAAGGCGTAGAGAAATTTGCATGTCGAGCCCAGTCTGATGAGGTCTGATTTGCCAAAGTGCTCCAGGATGACCGTGAGCATCTCGTCAGGCATCATAGCCCACGTGCCGACGCTAGCTCTCGCATTCGGCGCATTAGAGAGATAGCGGTTGCCCAAGGGCTTGACTCCGAGCTGATGCGAGGGAATCGACGCAGCATCAGTGACGACGCCCGCGTGGTTTGCCTTTGACTCATAGTGTTCATGACTATTGACGTCTGCCACGGCACGGCTCGGCTGGCCCGCCGCCATGGCTACCGCAGAGGGCATGGCTGAAAAAAATCGCCCTATTCGAGGCTCAAACCAAACCTTGCCCTATGTTTGAGGCCTCAGGCGGCGGCGAGAGGAGCTCAGAACCCTTGCAGCAATTCCCGAGCAAGGTTCAAAATCAGGCGACGCAACTGCAGTAGCTACTTGCGCGAGTGACTCAGATGTCGGCGCAGGCTAGGTTCGGCTAACGTAGAGTGACCGCAGTCCAAAGTGCCCGCGCCCTGTGTGATTGAGACAGAGTCTGTGTGAGAGGCGCGAGGCGAGACGTGAATGTGACTCGACAATGCCGGCAGGAAGTGTGGTGGCAGGCGGGCCTGGTGTAAGTGGTTGAAGGTGGTGGCAGAGAATGAGTCGCTGGGTGGTGGCGGACGAGTGAGCACCGCCACTGGGTCACCACCTTCAGCACCACCATGAGCACCAGTCACCACCACTGGGCTTAATCTTTGGGCGGGAAAAAAATTCCTGGCCTTTGGTCGCCGCCGCGCTGGTTGGTGTCTGATAGCGCTGGCGGCGGCGCAGGTACCCAGTGCTGCGAAATGCGCCGCTGTGGTACGCTGAAAGGTACCCTAAGCGTGGGGCCCACCACGCACCCCGGCCTCGCTGATTGGCTGGCGCTGGGTGTGGGCGGGAGGGAAAAAAATACAAGTCGAGGAGGGCCCCTCAACCGACTTTTTTTTCTCTCCTTCTCTCCCCTCTCCAACCTTTCCAAGGAACATCACAACGAAAGATACCCGCAACCTCCTAGATTTCGGCCAGCTCTCGTCATTTTCGAGAGCGTACGGATCTAGTCGACCCCAAGTTTCCATTCAACGCCAGTCGCAGCCCTTCCCGAGCGAAGCGCCTGCCGATTTTTTTTCTCGCCCACCCCGCGATTTTTCGATATCCATCTAGGTCGAGCTGTGCTTGATCTAGATTCTTCTTCAACCTACCGCAATCATGGCTACCGACAAGGGACTCGAGGACGTCCCCGAGGGTGAGTTGGATCCTGGCTTATTCTGTTGCGCGTCGACTTGGACGGGGGCGGAAGGCGTTGGCATCGCGGTCGTCGCGTTTAGCCGTGGGGGTGGATCGCCCGCGGTCAGACACGATGCCCCACGATGTGCGCCTGTCGTCGCCCTCGTCCGGCTTGGCTCCTAACAGATATACCCTTGCGCGCAAGTTGTTATGGTGACTGACAGAAATGGCTTGCAGGGCAGATCGAGTCCAACTATGACGAGACTGTCGACTCATTCGATGACATGAACCTGAAGTCTGAGCTTCTCCGTGGTGGTAAGCAAAAACTGCCGTCCTGGCTGCCGACTTTGTGCTTGGTATCTGACCTCGTCCTGCAGTGTACGCCTATGGTTTCGAGCGCCCTTCGGCCATTCAGCAGCGTGCGATCATGCCCGTCATCAAGGGTCACGATGTCATCGCCCAGGCCCAGTCTGGTACTGGCAAGACCGCCACCTTCTCTATCTCCGTTCTCCAGAAGATCGACACTTCGGTCAAGCAGTGCCAGGCCCTGATCCTGGCCCCCACTCGTGAGCTCGCTCAGCAGATTCAGAAGGTCGTTGTCGCTATCGGCGACTTCATGAACATCGAGTGCCACGCTTGCATTGGTGGTACCAGCGTGCGCGACGACATGAAGGCCCTCCAGGATGGCCCCCAGGTCGTCGTCGGAACCCCCGGTCGTGTCCACGACATGATTCAGCGCCGCTTCCTGAAGACGGACGCTATGAAGATGTTCGTTCTCGACGAGGCCGACGAGATGCTTTCTGTAAGACAGCGACGCCTTGCCTGCCCTGACCAACCGTCGTGCTAACATAGTTTCCTCCAGCGTGGTTTCACCGACCAGATCTACGACATCTTCCAGCTCCTCCCCCAGTCCACTCAGGTCGTTCTCCTTTCCGCTACCATGCCCCAGGACGTCCTCGAGGTCACGACCCGCTTCATGCGTGACCCCGTCCGTATCCTGGTCAAGAAGGATGAGCTTACCCTCGAGGGTATCAAGCAATTCTACATTGCTGTTGAGAAGGAGGAGTGGAAGCTCGACACTCTGTCCGACCTGTACGAGACGGTCACCATCACCCAGGCTGTCATCTTCTGCAACACCCGCAGAAAGGTCGACTGGCTCACCGACAAGCTTACCGCCCGCGACTTCACCGTCTCGGCCATGCACGGTGACATGGACCAGGCTCAGCGTGATCTGATCATGAAGGAGTTCCGCTCTGGATCCTCTCGTGTCCTGATTGCCACTGACCTCCTGGCCCGTGGTATCGATGTCCAGCAGGTGTCGCTGGTCATCAACTACGATCTCCCCGCCAACCGCGAAAACTACATCCACCGCATTGGCCGTGGTGGTCGTTTCGGCCGAAAGGGCGTTGCCATCAACTTTGTCACCGCCGATGATGTCCGCATGATGCGTGAGATCGAGCAGTTCTACAGCACCCAGATCGAGGAAATGCCCATGAACGTTGCCGACCTCATCTAAGTTAACAACTACCAAAGCATCATCCGTCGTCGCCTGCGTCATCTGGGCTGCTGCACACTAGGGTGGCCCTTGAACGGCAGTCGCGGCATCTGGTGGAGATTTATCCGGTGATTTCCCTTTTGCAGCTGTTGATAGATTCGCGTTTCTAGAGGGACATCCGGGGCCGGCCCTCGGCGGTCGGCCGCGCGGTGGCTTGAGGGCAAAGATCGAAGTGGCTGCATGACGAAGGCTCGGGAAGTCCTTCGCGCCTTAATGGATCAAAAGGTGCGATGAGGACTACCAAAAGTAATGCGATAGTTCTTCCTTTTACTTCTCCTTTGTCACCTCTGTTCCTGTAACTAGGAGTCGCTTTTTTATGATGACAACCTATCCCTTCAAGGGCAACGTGCATCGTGGCTTATGTGAGACGGGCGATGTGCAACATGACAGTTTCCGTACGACTTCGTGTTGCATGACAAGCTCCCTCCCAAGGGACCGGCGGCGCATGGCACCGATGTCCTGGTCCAAATCGGTAGGGCGTCGAACAGGCGTCCAGCCGTACACTTTACAAGCGGACCTGGCCATGGCCGGTAAGTCGCCATCTAGGGCAACAATCAGAGCGACGAAGCATGGCATCGATATTCGAAAGAACTACATTTTCCACTTCCCGAGCCCTGCTCCTGCAGGCCCGCGTCTTGGGCGTCTACGTGACACGACGGGTCTTCACCCAACATCATCGCAACACACCAAAAAAATGAAAAGAAAAAAAAAGTGAAGCGTACGCAACTCATGGACGAACAGGGAATCGAACCCTGGACCTCTCCCAGAGGAGGGCAATCGCTTAGAAAGCTCATGCTAAGGGAGAATTATACCACTAAACCATCCGCCCAGATGAATCTCGCTGGTCCCTGATGGGTCCTGATTGGCTGAAGATCGGAGCAACGCAAATCGCATTATGAACCTGTCCTGTCAGGAAAAGGAGCGTCTGTGGGAGGAAAAGACGGAGAGGCTGCGCGAGGAGGAGCGGAGAAAGGCCGAAGAGGAGAAGAGGCAACGGGCTGAGCAAGAGCGACAGTGGCAGCTGGCAGAGCAGAAGCGCCTCAAGGAAGATCGGGAGGCCGAGGCTCCTATTGCCGGTCCTTCTAGGGATAGTCCTCTTGACATTCGGACGTGAACACTTGATCGACAACTTCAAGTAAATGGCAAATGGAGACACCGTTTAATGTGAATTAGGGGTCAAGGTAGCCTAGTCCCGTAGCTAGACTCCAGTAAGGCAGACACGCAAGTCTCTACTGCCATTCAACGCCGTTGGTATAGCCGCTTTACAAAGTAAAAGAAATGTCCAAGAAAGGGGTTCGCCATCCCAGTCCAAGAGTCAAGTGATTCTCAGACAACTCTCACAGAAGCATTCGTACAACGCTTTTCTTCCCTTATCGGGCCTGCCCAAAGGAGATTTGTGTTGGCGGCGGGCTCTTGACGGCCGCCCCAGCATATGCCCCTGGAATGGGCACTGCCTCGTATGTCGGCTCGTGGGAAGCTTGCGGGGCATGCTCCGTGAGAGTCTCCCCTGGTGGTGTTGGTGCCCTGGCGGCTGTGGGAGAGAAGCCCCCTTGGCTCGTCTTGGGAGTCGCGGATGGAGCCTTGGTAGGGGGTGCTTGCAGCTTGAACGTCGGAGACGGTTTGCTGAACTGGGACTGGGGTTCAACGACACGGCCGCCAGGAGTGAATGGGCTGGATTCGTCGATGTCGGACAGGTTGCGATAAGCGGCCGGGGGGTGGCGAGGGGACATGGCGTAGTTGCTCAGAGCAGGCGACTTGGGACCCCCGATGCTTGGAGACTTGGGGCCGAACCCCGGCGTGTTGGGAGCAGACTGGGAGCGAAGCTGGGCTAGGTAAAGATCGGACCGCGCACGATCTCTCAGGTCCATGGACTTGAAGAGGCGGCGCTTGGTGTAGTAACGGTAGAACACGATGCTGTAGAGAGTGATGGAAATGACCTCGACAACAATCTCGATGATGATGCAGATGAGGGTCCAGTTCTGGAGGCGGCAGACGAGCTGATAGTCGACCTTCTCCGCGAAGACGTCCGAGCGGGTGTTGTCCACGCAGGCCCATCCCCACATGTCCTTGTTGTTGCCACTGTCCCTGGCATGCTGGACAACGACTGCTGTGATGACCCAAAGGAGCATGCTGATGATGAACTGGAACAAGTCAGCACCCTGATCTCTGATGAGGAAATCCACTAGTAGAGTTAAAACATACCCAGCCGATGGCAAACATGGTATAGTAAGTGTTGACTTTCTCGGCCCGCTTGTGTCCACCGCGGCAGTAGGCCAGGAAGACCAGGACGCAAATGAAAAGCGAGAAACAAGCCATGGCAAGCGTCAGCTTCTGTGGCCACGACGTCTTGTCCGTGTTGGGAGCCCATGGGGGCATGCTGCTTTGCGCCGCGAGCGCCTTGGTGGAGTTGAAGATGGCGAACGAGGCGGACAGCATGGAGAGGATGATGAGAGAACAGCTGAAGCCAACCCCACGAAGTGCGAACTTGGCCATGCGGACACGAGTCTTGATTTTCTGTCGGGGCGGTTAGCCTTTTAGACCTGTAATCGTTCGAATGTAATACGCACTATGTCTCTGGCCTGCTCCTTTTCCGTGGCGAGCTCACGCTTCTCGAGAATCTCCTCCTCGCGGAACGTGGGACTCAAGGGGTTTGTGAGCTGCCTCCCGGGTGTCCCTGGAGCCTTCATGGCGCTCTTGAGGGGAGACCTGGGCGTCATGGGGACCGCCACAGATTCGTGCTTGGTATCGTTGATGTAGCCGAAGCCGACGTCGCCAGGTTGCGCGTGGGCGACATGAGACTTCTCTGGATCGGAAAAGGGCGACTCCATGTCGACAGGCGAGTGAACAGAAGTAGCCTCTGCGAAGCGGGGAGTTCGCGGGACCTTGAGCGAGCAGTCCGAGGACGACGAGTCCGAGGAACCGGATCGCACTGGTGTCAAGTTGAGAGCGGCAGGCCGCTTCTTCTCATCGAAGCCTGAGGGAGGAGGTTAGCTAGGCTCTTCCTCTTTCACATACGCGGCGTCACGAGAGGACGGACCTTGGCCGACCATTGTGCTTAGGGCGTGCAGAAACAAGCAGACGGTGTAAACGGTGAAGGAAAAGAGGCTGTTCCGTGTGATAGAGGATCTTTCGATGATCACCGAGTAGGACAAGGCTTCCAAACCAGCTGCAAGCAGAGTCCCGGGAACAGGAATAGGAAAAGAATCTCGGTGAGGAGGGCGAGAGGATGGATGAGACCAGCTATCGAGGAACAGAAGAGAGGCCGCAGGTCCCGGGCCAGATGAGGGACAGCGGGAGTTTTGAGGGCAACGACATGGCGCGGAACAGCTGCAGCTCATTCGACAGCTCTAGCCGCCGAGGGGGACGAGGGCAAAGGTGGAGTCCAGCTCAGAGGGTGTCGGGGGATCGGGGCAAGGCAGACGAAATGGCCTGTCGCAGTAGACGCCCAGCTACGGGTTCCCGGATTCAAGGCAAGGCAAGTAAGGTGTGGCGCCAAGCGCCGCTGCGAATGCTGCAGCGTGAATGGAGGGAGAGACTGGAGCGAGCAGGATATTGCATGGCCCGGGCAGAAGCAATTGTGTTGAAGAAGAGGCAAGGAAACGCCGTCAACTCACTCACACTCTCCACGCGGCACCGTATATCCGCGATGGCGTCCGAGGCCTAGGAAGGCGAGGTTTCACTAATAGAGACGCGAGATATGTATCGCAGGGCGACCGTCCGAGTCGACGGCGACGGAGCAGAGGCAGCGAGAGCACGGATGAGGGGAAGCCTCGATAGCAAGACGCCGCCCAACTGACGGAGGGCGGAGGCACTAGATATCATCACTCAAGACTCGTAGCGGGCGTGCTCTGCCAAGAAGGGCCTGGAAGACCAGGAACCCGAGCAGTGCAACCGCCCGCTGCCACCGACCGACGGGCGCAGAGGCCGGCGGCAACATGGGGGAGGGGGGCAGGACGGTACGACGCACAGCACGTCCATCACCAACGTTGGGTGTCCTCGGACGGTATGCGCGAAGCACGCAGCTCTGGACGCTGGCAGCGAGACCTCGTCCGGCTCGTAGAACATGGGTCCTCCTGGTGGTTGGGGTCAACTGCAGTTGCGGTGCAGGCGTGCAAGCCGACTCCCGCGATGCCATTCGCCGCTGGCCGAGGTGCGGCTTGAGCGGGCATGCGGGATGGTGGACAAGCGTGAGATGGCCCGGCCAGACCCCTGCCGAGCGCCTAAAACGCCCCTCCAAGAGGCTCCAGGGATCGCCCGCCCACGCATCGAAACTGCCACCACGGCGCGCTGATTGGGCAGGTACGTGCGGCCGTGTTGGCGGCCGCGGTGGGAGGCCCACTGTGATGTGTCCAACCGTCGGCGCCCATCCCGGTTCCCTCAAGCCACCCTGCAGAGCTCGGCGGCAAGAGCGAGCACTGGGATTCGTCCAGGCTCGAGGCGCCCGCGGGGAGGGCCTCACGCTGTTTTGCCCAAGTTCATATGGCGACGACGACAATGCCGCTTGGCCGCTCCTCCTGACCGGTTGACGGTTGCTGGTCGGAGAAGCTGCAAGCTGTTGGTGGTACCCGTGTCCCGCTCACACCTCACACCTCACTCGAGGAATATCAGCGCAGCAAGCAGGCTGGCGAACATGGCCTTACCCAGCACTCCTCGGGGGCGTAGAGACACACTCGGCCGAGGAGAAGAGGCTGTCGAATGCTACACACAAGCCAGAGACACACAGAGGTCTTCTATTTATACGCGACCTGTCAGAGGCAACGCAAATTCTTGAGGTTGCAGCATGTCTCGGCACCGCGACAAGCTGGTTAGTTAGCGCACCATACGAAGTAAGCCAGATGCTCCAAAACCGGAATCCCACCGAGATATCCATTTACAGTCACGAGAAGACTTAGAGCGTGCCGAACAGTCAACTTCACATGCGACCTGCCAGGTGTAGAGCATATGTACGAAGGAGGTCGAAACATGCGCCCTGGTGCTGTCAGCGGAGACTCGCAGTCAAGCGCCAACCCGCGCTCTCGCTCATCAGGCGTCTGGGCAAGAAGCGGCAGCGCCCTAACATCATTCCACGAGATACCTAGGACGCACTTCAGTGTTACCGTGAGAAATTTCTCTTCTTTGGCAACACGCACTGATACAATACTTGTCCGCCCCCAACGAGGCAATGTTATGTAACCATCGTTCCGGTCCGGATCGCTCGTCGGGGTCCCACCCAATTGTCTGGCACACCACCCAACCTGAAGGAAAAGCAGAAAGCGATGATACATTGGCCCCTGAGCACGCGCATGCAATCATTTCGTGATACTGCACTGTGTTCCTGTGGCATCACACCTTGACTTGATATCGAGGGTCAGAGTCAGGTCTCAAAGTAGTTGTTCGTCAAAGTGCGGTCTCCAGAGTCGGGCGCTGCCTCTTCGGTCTACACTCGCTGCAGCAAGCAGCGCAGCAGCTCATTCACTTTACAGATGTCCCCGGACATTTCATGGCGTTGGCAACAACTCACCTGCTTGCGCCAATCGCCCGGACAACCCCTAAAGTTTTTATCAGTCATGGGACCTGAAGCGGCCGAAGCCACTGATGTAGGCAAGAGTTTACACTTTCCTCGTACAGCACTCCCGTCACATCATGAATTCATGATCCAGGGACATCTAGCCTACGGTTTTAGTGGAGAGCTTGAATGCCCAAGCCCGACCTTCAGCCGGCGAGGGGCAAACTCAGTCTTATCGGTTTATCAGGCCCTAACAGGCCTAGCGCGTAATAAGAGTCATCCCTCTCCCAAGTGACTGCACACGAGGAATTTTGATACCTCCGCCGAAATACCCCATATTGACCAGCTACTCTTGGCTCACGTTGCGATACCTCGACCCGAGCGCTCCCAGCGATATCTAGGCATTTTCCTCCTTCACCTACCGGCAAGCAATCGATAGATTTATCGTCGCCAGCGCCCAGCGCCGAGCTCGCACGCCGTCTGCCTACCTTTTTCCAGCCCGCAGACTTGCCCCGCCATACTCACGAGCGTCACCATGTCTGCCAACGGCGACCCCAAATACGACGACATCGACTCCGAGTCCGAGTCTGGCGAGTCCTTCGATGGCCAGCATGACGCCGCCGACGACAAGCCCCTGAAGTCGGCCCTTAAGAAGTCCAACCCTGCCATCCCCGACCAGACCATCCAAAGGCCCCCGCTGCCCCCGCAAACAGACCCGAAAGACCTCGACCTCGCCAGCCTGACTCCCCTCACGCCTGAAATTATTGCCCGGCAAGCGACCATCAACATTGGCACCATCGGCCATGTCGCTCACGGCAAGTCGACCGTCGTCAAGGCCATCTCTGGCGTCCAGACCGTCCGTTTCAAGAACGAGCTGATCCGCAACATCACCATCAAGCTCGGCTACGCCAACGCAAAGATCTACAAGTGCGACAGCCCTGACTGTCCGCGACCGGGTTGCTACCGAAGCTATAAGAGCGAGAAGGAGGTCGATCCTCCCTGCGAGCGTGATGGCTGCACCGGTACCTACCGGCTATTGAGACACGTCTCGTACGTACTATCAGAGCGCTGCATGCCACCCACAGAATCCATTCTAACCGTTTGTCCAGTTTTGTCGACTGCCCCGGTCACGACATTCTCATGAGCACCATGTTGTCGGGTGCCGCAGTCATGGACGCTGCCCTGCTCCTCATTGCCGGCAACGAGTCCTGCCCCCAGCCTCAGACCTCGGAGCATTTGGCCGCCATCGAAATCATGAAGCTGGACAAGATCATCATCCTGCAGAACAAGGTCGATCTCATGAGGGCAGAGGCCGCTCAGCAGCACTACGAGTCTATCCTCAAGTTCATCCGAGGAACGGTTGCCGGCAAGTCGCCTGTCATCCCCATTTCGGCTCAGCTCAAGTTCAACATCGACGCCGTCAACGAGGCCATTGTCAACACCATCCCTGTCCCCCCCAGAGACTTCACCATGGACCCGCACATGATTGTCATTCGATCGTTCGACGTCAACAAGCCTGGTGCCGAGATCGACGACTTGAAGGGTGGTGTCGCTGGTGGCAGTATTCTCCACGGTGTCGTCAAGCTGGGCGATGAGATCGAGATCCGACCTGGCATCGTTTCTCGAGACGATGCGGGTGCCCTCAAGTGCACGCCTATCTTCAGCAGAGTCGTCTCGCTTAACTCCGAGGCCAACGACCTCAAGTACGCCGTGCCCGGCGGCCTGATTGGTGTCGGTACCCGCATCGACCCGACCCTCTGCAGAGCCGACCGTCTCGTCGGTTTCGTCCTGGGTCTCAAGGGCAGACTCCCCGAGATTTACAGCGAAATCGAGGTCAACTTCTATCTCCTTCGCCGTCTCCTTGGTGTGAGGACTGCCGACGGCAAGCAGGCCAAGGTCGCCAAGCTGGCCAAGAACGAGGTCATCATGGTCAACATTGGCTCGACTTCGACCGGTGCCAAGGTTGCCGCCATCAAGAATGATGCCGCTAAGCTGGTCCTCACCAGCCCTGCCTGCACCAACATCGGCGAGAAGGTTGCCCTGAGTCGCCGTATCGAGAAGCACTGGCGTCTCATCGGCTGGGCCACGATCGCTGCGTAAGACTCCCTTTTCACATTCAGCCCCTCAAGTAACGCATGACTGACCCGAAACATAGCGGTGTTACGTTGGAGCCCAGCACGTCGTAAATTACGAAAATCCAGATTGAGGAAGCTGCGCCCGCGGAGGCGCACAACGCAATCCCAGGGGTTGCTCCAAAAGATTGCATCAGCTGGGATACCGGGGGCGAAGCTCCTAGGTATGGCATGGAGGCTGGCGCCAGGCGCCGGAGCGCGAATCGGTGTTCAAAAGGCTGTCATTTGGGGACAGTCATTGGAGGGGTATCCCATGAGGGCTGTGACCATCTGGAGGCGCACGACGGCTGCATGCTGTAGACACACTTATCGGCCGCTTGGTCCATGAATCAAATCGTAAACATGTTACACTGAAATCCCCATGTCTGTGCTCTTGCTTGGGCAGTCTCCTGCGTACATTAAAAGTATCTAAGACTTTGTCTATTTCCGTACTTTCCGCGCATGCTTGACGAGGTTTTCTATCACTCCCTCGAAGGCCTCACGGTCGCCAATCTTCTCGTCTGTGCGTTTCTGCCAGTATTCGAGAACGTCCTTTGCTGCGCCTTGTATGGACTCCAGCTTCTCGACGTGTTGCTTGAGCTCCTCGTTCGTCATACCATCAAGTGCTTCATCGGTCGTCGTGCACAAGTATCTCGCGGCAACCAAGTCCAGCTCTGGTTGCTGCGGGGCACCTTTCCGTCTCTTCGACTCCTTCGGCCTGCCCTGCGTGTCTACCGAGGTCGACGAGGCGTTACCATCCCCTTGCCGTAGCCGCGACGCTGACCGTGAGTCGCTCGATGTGCGAGGTGACGTGGCAGAGATGTTTAGTGAGGGCAATACCAGCTTCTTTTGTTTGGACGCTGGGAGAATCTCATCCAGGTCCACGGGTACGCCCAACGACACGAGGAATAGTCGTCGGGTGCGGGACCGGATCCAGTCCGGGGGCGCCAGAGGTGGTGGCGCCACAAGTTGGGACCATAATGACGCAGAGCGAGGTGTGAGGAAGGTTGTCGAGTCCTTTGGAAGTGGCGGTGGGGTGATGAAGTCGAGCTCTTGAGGCGGGAAAAGGGTGTCGAGGTACGGTTCAGTGGCGGTGATAACTTCGTCCATGCTTAGACTATCAAAGTCCGGTATGGGCTACAGTGGGCAGTCAGACATGGCGCTTCGCTAAGGGAGGAAACCTGGAGGACTAACGAATGGTAACGTCGACGGCTGGATCGTAGCAGGTGCAGTGCTTGGCTGCTGTGGTTGCTCGAAGTCATCTCCTTCAAAATCGTCAAAGCCGTCGTCACCTTGGCCGCCCTCTTCGAAATCATCAAAGTCGTCTCCAAAATCGTCGTCACCTTCCGGAGATTCTTCGCTCGAGCTGATCACAATATCTGGTGCAGCATCCGCACTCCTTTTGCTTTCGGCTTCTTCTGAGCGAGGGCTGGGCCCGTCACCGGGAGCCTCCTCCAGCACAGTGACCGGAATCTCGGCATTCTCGACATCGGGGGGCTCGTCATCATTCTCCTCGCCTCGCTCGTTCTGGGGCGTATTCGCGCCGTCGCGATCTGGGATGACGGCGATCTCGTCTGGATCTGCGTCTCCTTCTCTCTTCTCGTATGCTTCGGTGCCCGGGATTTCGCCATACGAAGGCTCATTATCAACCTTTTCCACCCTTGTCGTGGGCACCGGGGAATGTGCTCGGGGCGTCACCGGTCCGGACTGCGCATCTGTGAACTGATCTTCGTCATCGGACGACTCAGCTGTATATAAGTCAGCTACGTTCTGAGGCCAGCGGTGGAATGGCGACGAACACAGCTGTCGTGCCCCTGGATCTGTCACTTTCATGTCGGGTGGAGGCCCGAGCGCCGTGGAGTCCGTCATCGTTGGGCAGGCAGGGCCGGAGCTGCTCGAAAACCGTTGGCGAACGAGGTTTAGGGCTGGGCAGGCGTTGGCGAGACTCGGTTCGTTGTGTCCGTCGGAGCACCACAAGGGCGTGGGCGGCAGGGAAAGCAGGGCCTTGGAGGATCGCAAGCTGTCTGTGAGGCTCGTGGAGTGTCAATGCCGGTGAATTGGCAGCCGCACGCGAGTACGCTTTTGCCTGCCGGTTGCCAAGTCGCTTCAATTCGGCATCTTATACCTTGGGTCGAGCGAGAATAGAGGGTATTAGAGGGGCGATGGGAGGTTTCGCATCATGCAATGAGGTAGCCAAGAGTGTTGTACCTCCAGGAGATGTTGAAGGCCATCACGTGGGGCTCTGTGGACAGTGGGTGACCTTGCTCCCGCAACGTTGAGCTCACGTTCCAAGGTACCGTTAGGTACGTACCCCACAGCTCCAACCTGGAAGGAACACCCAGCCAACACGGTCGCTCACCACCCGGCGCGTGGAGCAGCTAGGAGCAACACCTCAAAAAAAGCTTCCCCGGCCGCCTTGGGAGAGGTGCATCCTACACGCATCCCACGGCTTCGTTGATCGACACCAGCCATCGTACTTCGCGTCAACAAAGGGCAATCGCAGCCTTCTCCAGTGTTCTGCCCTTTCTGCCTTTGGCCTGGACATGTTGGCGACCTAACAGCCGACAAACTGTCCCTCGAAACGGCTCGCCGACCGAACTTCTCCACGAGCACCAGCCACCTTTCGACGCAATCATGTCGTACACCTTTGGCACCCCGAGCTCGTCGGGCGCGCCGTCGAACAATGCGACCACTACAGCACCTGCTTCAGGTGGCATCTTTGGTGCTGCGGCATCCGGCAGCACGACGCCTTCATTCTCTTTCGGAAACCTAGGCGGTGCTTCGGGCGCCAAACCCGCCACTCCCTCTGGCAACGCAGGCTCCTTGTTTGGACAAGCAAGCGGCGGAAGCACTCCAAAGCCAGCTGGCAGTCTTTTTGGAGCCGCCCCGTCCTCCAACACCCCTTCTGGCACCGCGACTCCCTCGACTGGATTGTTTGGTGGCAACGCGTCAACGACACCGGCGTCAGGTGGCTCGCTTTTTGGCGGAGCGACCCCTGCGGCGACGGCACCCTCCACGACACCTGCAACTTCCGCTCCCGCGAGTGGTGGGCTATTCGGAGGGGCCAAGACAGACACCACCACTCCCGCACCCGGCGGTGGTCTGTTCGGAGGATCCGCCGCGACGGCGAGCAAACCTGCATCCAACATATTCGGGGGTGGCGCGAGCTCCGGTGGTAGTGGGCTGTTTGGCGCCCAAAATAACACACCCCAAGGCCAGACGACAGCTACCACATCTTCTGCTCCATCCCCGGGCATATTTGCCGGAACTGGAAACAGCCTCTTTGGCAACAAAAGCGAGGCCACGGCCAGCTCTCAGGCCGGAGCGCTGACTACCACCGCCACAGCTACTCCCGCGAAGCCCGCATTCTCGCTGGCATCGACAACTCCGGCTGGTGCACCACCCACTGATAGCTCCAGGCCTCCCTCAACCGCGCAGACCACGAACGCAGCGCCAACTTCAAGTCTCTTTGGCGGACAGGGAGCATCCGGTGCTCCCAGCGGCGGAAGCAGTCTCTTTGGTGCAAAGCCGGGCGCCGGAGGTGCGGGAACTCCCGCAGGAGGTCTCTTTGGCGCCGCTGGAGGCAGCTCGACGCCATCGTCATCTGCTGCTCCCGCTAGCAGCACAGCAGCTGGTTCGGGAGCTGCAGGCTCTTTGTTCGGGAAGCCCGCGGCTCCTGCGACTACCGCAGCTCAGGGCTCTGCTGCCGGTGGTCTTTTTGGAGGCACTGCCGCCAGCACGGCTGAGACCTCATCCAAGTCTTCCACTACAACCGCGCCCGCTTCTGCACTTTTCGGAAACAAGCCCGCAGCCCCTGCCGCTGGCACGGCATCGCCCGCGGCGCCAGCAACCACCGCGGCTTCAGGTGGTCTGTTTGGCGGGGGTGCTCAGCCATCGGCAGCAGCGAAGCCCGCCTCCTCGCTTTTTGGTGCTCCGGCGGCCTCGGCAACTTCGCAGCCCTCCTCGACGGCCGCTACCTCGACCACCACCACTCCCGCAACAGCTGCTGCGCCCGCCGGGGGGCTTTTCGGCTCCAAGCCCCCGATGGAGGGTGCGGACAAGGACAAGAATGCTGCCAAACCTCCCGCGCAGGCCGGTACCGCTCCTGCTCTGGGCGCCTCGACTAACGGTCCGACATCTCAAATTCCTCGGCTGAAGAACAAGACGATGGAGGACATCGTCACTCGATGGGCCTCGGACCTGTCGAAGTACCAGAAAGAGTTCAAGCAGCAGGCAACAACTGTTTCCACTTGGGACAGGAACTTGGTGGACAATGGCGAGAAGATTCAAAAGCTTTATCTCGACACTTTCGAGGCTGAACGGGCCAGCCATGAGATTGAGCGACAGCTTGCCGCGGTGGAGAGCCAACAGGATGAACTGGAGGCTTGGCTCAACCGTTACGAATCTGAAGTGCAGGACATGTTTGCCAAGCAAATGGGCCCAGGAGAGCAGCTGGCCGGACCTGATCAGGAACGCGAGCGCACCTATAAGCTAGCTGAGAAGCTCACACAGCAGCTTGATGAGAAGTCCCGCGACCTCTCGAAGATGGTGAAGGAGATCAACGACATCTCCGGAACTTTGACCAAGGGAGCCAAGGCCGAAGATCCCGTAGGTACCGCCCAGATTCGCAGTTTGGCTCTCGCTAACCACATGTCACAGTTGAGCCAAATCGTCCGAGTGCTGAATGGCCACCTCACCCAGCTGCAGTGGATTGACGTCAATTCGTCGGCACTGCAGGCCAAGGTGACCGCGGCGCAAAAATCCAACAGTGCCCTGGGTAGCCACTACAGTGGTGTTGACAACGATGCGGCGGAGAGCTTCTACCGCTCGTACACGGGACGGAGGTAAATATCATTGGGGGTGGATTTGCTATGATTGGGACTGAGGTCATTCGGCTGGAGTTCAAGGCTGTATCGGACGACGATACTGGAGGGGATTTTACACAACACACAGAGACAGGAACTGCAGGTTTCCGAGCTGGGTATGTTTTCGTAGGCTTGATGGCACACATAGGTGATTGTACACTAGTTTAGACAGTGGCAAGACGCAAACACTGAAACTTCAACTGTCCGTGCCACTTCCATGCAATCTGACCGACTGCGTCCTAACTCTCTGCAACTCCTGTCGCGCGGCTCGCATTGTGGGGGCCTCGGATGTGAGCGGCTTAGTTCTGCTCGCCACCCTGCTCCTTGGTGATCTCGTCGCTGCAGGTAGAACTGTGTCAGAGCTGGGTTTCCAGGTGCAGGCCAGACTCTTGCCATGAATGGGCTCACGATCTGTGATCGAACGTACATGTGCTTGGAGAGGCGCTCGAGGTGCTGTTGTTGCTCGGCGAGCTTCTTGCGGAGCTCCAGGAGCTTCTCCTTCTCGCGCTGACGGATAGCGTAGTCCTCGGACGCGCGCTCGCGGCGCTGGAAAGCGTCGCTATATGGGTATAACTATCAGCGACCGATTCGCTCGTGGCCCATTGGGCCGTTATTGCATCGCGCGGCGGAGAACGAGGGAGAAAACTCACCCAGGGCCGCCAGTCTTGGGAGGGGCGCCAGTATCGCCCTCAGACATAGCTCGGGCCGTGGTGCTGAAGGCTCGGAGGGGACGGAAGGCCGCGGTCTTGGTGAACTGCGTGCGGAGCATGCTGGGCAATGAGGAGAGGGAGGTTGGGAGACGGGGTGGACGGTGGTGGTTGTGGTGGTGGTGTTCTTGAGGTTGTGGTTCGTGGGAATGACGTGTGGGTGGAAAAGAGCCTTGGGAGAGGTGGTGGTTCGAGAGAGCAGGACGGTGCTAGCCGTTTGGCGCTTGGGGCGACAGGCGTCGACGAAGCTGCGTCATATGGAGATACATGTGGATTCTGCAGAAAAAGGCGGGCCGCGCGGGTACTTTCGTAACGATCTCTGTAGCTGCTGCCCGAGCCGTCCGTCACCGAAAACCCCCAACCCCAGCTGGGAAAGGCGCCTGGACGGTTTAACGCAGAGTCCGTGGGCACAAAGGACGGATTGTCACCTGTCTGCTGCGGCTTCGTGTGCAAGGAAGGGTTCAGCAGGAAGCAGTGTCAAGCCAGTCCAGTTCCCATGCGAAAGCAATTGCAGTCCTTTGTCTTGATTCAAGGCAAGCTCTTGTAGGCATGACCCCGTCGTGCCCTTGATCACTCGTCTCAGTAAGCCGTCCGCATCTTCCCGAAATCCGCACGGTGGCAATGGGGCAGGGCAGTCTGTAAAGCTGCCTTGATGTTCCAGGCATGATGCAAGAGTCGTCATTTTCTTTGCAGGCGCTTCGGTATGCACTCAGGGCTAATCCCCGCTGTGAGGGTGAGTGGGTAGATTGAGGACGGCATGATGGAAACAGAGGGCACCTTAAAAAATCCAAGAACGAACGGCAGCCAGTCTCAGACCTTTATGCCAAGGCGGCTTGGGGCCAATGCTTCCCAGGGCACGTCATGGGCGCCTTGCGCGTGGATTTCACAGGGCATTGCGCTGCGTCAGAACCGAAGGGCGACGAAGTAGAATTGGCCACAGCAAAGCGCACCTCAATAAAGGGCCCTCCCGATTTCAAAGTACCTATGCGCCGCGCTGGGGTTTCAGAGTCATCGGCGCTGTTGTTTGGCCCTTTGGGTGTCAGCCCCTCCCTCAATATGACGCAGGCGGTGCCTGGGCCACCTCGAGTTCTCCTTGGTGTCTCCTCGTGAATGGAGCCGTTGCTGGCGGAGGAGAATGGTGCGAGATGGCGTGTCAGGTGAACGCTGTGAATGCTACTTTACTTGTTCTGGCTACGATCGGTTCTCGCCTTCGGTGAGCGGCTTCCAGGCTACGAGAATCAGAGCGTGGGTCGGTCGATGCGGTCATTCCGCGGTTTGCAGGCACTTGCTGAAGACGTGCAAGGACAGGCGAGGCACGTAACAACGCTGCCGAAGACGCATGGTAGCGAGTCGGCTGATGCAGGGCGCCTTTCATGCAGAGCCGCGACCACGTCTCAACCTCGTCACAGGCAATACGTACATGCATTTTTAGGCCTAAAATCCTGCAAGCGCATCGCCAACGCTTCCATGACGAACGCGATCAGATGCAGTTCTCGAGTCCCGGGTAGCGAGGCTCATCAGCGGACATGGATCATGGCGCTTGTCATCAGTCCACGAACCGTGGCAGCGCCGCCGCAGACTGGGTCTGAGCGAAGCCCTCCAGGTCCCAGCGGGTGCCTCGAGAGCCAACGACTGGCCACTGGGCATGCAACTCGGTTCAACGACGCACTCCCATTACGAGTCCGGTACTCGACGATGCGAGGACCAGCGGGTACAGTGACTTCATCGAGGCCGACTATTTGCGGGGCACGTGAGCCCTGCCAGGCGCAGCCAGTCGTACCCGGGTACATGGCGGCGCAGGAGCGGCGCGTCACGGCTGGGGCTGCCTCCGGGGCTCCAGGGCTCCAGGGCTGTTCGCCCCTCGCTGGAGACACTGACGCTGGGGGGAGCCGCCCCCTGCGGAAGCCCCCTGCGGAAAAAAACTAAGGCGTCCCGCCCAGTCAGAGGGATGGAGCGGGGGTGCGATTGGCGATTGTGGCGCGCGTTGCATAAGTTCACCACGGTCGCCGCCTGCTGGCGCTGCTCGTCCCGGCCTCCGTCCCCCGAACCCCTTCCCAATTTCATCCAGCCCGTCCACCGCGCTTCTGCTTTTCGCTCATCACGAAACCAGCTCCCTCTCAACAAAACACCCACCCGCCGTCTTCTTCCGCGCCCACGCACCCGCGCCTTCTCTCGAACGACTTTCTTTCCGCCGCAGAAGCCCGGACTTTTTTTGCCAACTCTCCCTGACGCCAAAGCTGGTAAGTCGCCCTGGCTGAGCTCTGCCCTGTTGACACTGTTGCTGCTTCGTCCCCCAATGGCGCACCCCTCCCTCCCCTCTGTCGTCATGGCGCCTCCTCCACCCGCTCTGCCTGGAGAGAGCCGTGGCCGCCGCCGCAGCACAACAACAAGCCCCGGCCGCGCAGCCACGGTCACGATCGCAGCACGTCGACGGCGTCGCCCCCGAGCTTGCTGGCCGCCATTTGATCGCGATTGAGGGTGGTAACGCCCCGACTTCATCAACGGCAGAACCCCACCACGGGCAGACGCCTCATCATCAGCAAGAGCGGGGGTAGCGCCCGTCGACGCGGCACTATGCTCCTGTTACTCGCATGAGATACATCGCACGAGGGCAGCCCCATCGCCACTGCTGTTTTTTCCACCGTTGACGCTACGGTGCTGGCGCGGTGCGGAAGTCGGGGCTGCGACAGCTGAACGCTTCCTCCCTGGATACTGTGCACAGTGCCACCACCGATCACCCCCTTCTCTACCGGCCAGCTGGCAGCTCCAGGACTCCTTGCCAGCGCACCGCATCTTCGTTTTACTGAACTACTCCGGTTCCGGCTCAAGTTTTGCTAACTCATTTCGCCACTTTGTAGTCAAATTCCCACCGCCAAAATGGGTCACGAAGATGCTGTCTACCTGGCTAAGCTCGCCGAGCAGGCCGAGCGATATGAGGGTAAGCAACTCACTGCGGCATTCTCCCGTTCGCGCAGCCTGCTGATATAATTGCGTTCTCCACAGAGATGGTCGACAACATGAAGATTGTCGCCAGCGAGGACCGCGACCTCACCGTCGAGGAGCGCAACCTTCTCTCCGTCGCCTACAAGAACGTCATTGGCGCCCGCCGTGCCTCTTGGAGAATAGTCACCTCTATCGAGCAGAAGGAGGAGTCTAAGGGCAACTCTTCGCAGGTCACTCTCATCAAGGAGTACCGCCAGAAGATCGAGGCCGAGCTCGCCAAGATCTGCGACGACATCCTCGACGTCCTCGACGCGCACCTGATTCCCTCGGCCAAGTCCGGCGAGTCCAAGGTCTTCTACCACAAGATGTGCGTACCGGCTTGCCCAGACCGTCGAACAAGTCGTCCGCGCATCCTGTGCTAACCCCGTGACAGGAAGGGTGACTACCACCGCTACCTTGCTGAGTTCGCTATTGGCGACCGCCGCAAGGACTCCGCCGACAAGTCTCTCGAGGCTTACAAGGCCGCCACCGAGGTTGCCCAGACTGAGCTTCCTCCTACCCACCCCATCCGCCTGGGTCTCGCCCTGAACTTCTCCGTTTTCTACTACGAGATCCTCAACGCCCCTGACCAGGCTTGCCACCTTGCTAAGCAGGCTTTCGATGATGCCATTGCTGGTAAGTTGGCGGCCAGTAATTGATCAGGTCTGAATAATTCGCTGACTCTTGCTGCAGAGCTCGACACCCTCAGCGAGGAGAGCTACAAGGATTCCACGCTTATCATGCAGCTGCTCCGCGACAACCTGGTACGTCGATTCTTGACCCGTGCACGAGTATGGCGGCGACTGACTGCTCGCAGACCTTGTGGACCTCGTCCGAGGCCGAGACCTCCGCTACCGGCGGCCAGGCTGATGCCCCTGCCAAGGAGGAGACCGCCGCCACCGCCGAGCCTCCTGCCGCCGCCGAGGAGCCCAAGGCCACCGAGTAAACGTGATATTTTGGGTGCCTTCAGCAAAGGCATTGATCATACTGGTATAGGGCAGGCTGGTGTCTACGGAGTGGACGGAAGACCTTGTTTTTTTTGATCAAGAGCTTCGGCATTGTTTAGGTAACTCGCGCAAACGCAACGGAGGGACGGATCGACTTTTCCCAACGGGCTGCCAAGGAGACCTAAAGAAGAGCATTTTGGAGGTTCTGCTTTTAGACTCTAATGCGTGACCGTCTGGACAATAAAAATTACTAAAATTGCTTTCATAATCTCGAGCCGAATGCTGAGTCTGAGCTTGTCTCTGGAGATGACCTCCATTTGGAACTGAGAATCTTGAGCGCGTTGACGGAGCCGCGTCAGTCACAGTCGTGGCGAATGAATCAGTAGTCACCAACCAACCCTGTAGCTGAGGGGTAGCGTGGTACACTTGTGTTAATCATTTGCATTGCTTGGATGTTCGGGTTCATCTTCTATCACTGCAAAATGAACTCGGAGCCATAGACTGCAATCTTGGCAGCCCACCATCAGTAGCCCCTCGTCTCCTGCCCCGAGCAGGTCTTCCTCCCCAAAGGAATAGCCCCTGTCATTTCCACACCGACAAGACCGATACCATCGCTCCTCGGCTTCGTCGAACGGCAGGTCGTCGAGATCCACGTTCTCAACCCCGGTTTGGAATCGCGCCACGCCCGGGACCGCGGTCTGAGAGAGACGGAGCGAGGCGTCATACGAGGCCCGCTGCGCTGGCGAGGAGAGAACCGTGAAAGCTCGGCTGATCTGATCAACTGTAAAGGTTGCAGTTTCGAGTACCGGAGTGGATGAGGAGGTGGTAGCCTTGTCGGGGTGGTTGCGTAACAGGGCTCTGTGGTATGCCCGTTTTATGAGTGCGGATGGGTCTGAGGTGGAGGAGTCGAGGATTGAAGGTGTCAAGCCGAGCACTTCATAGTGCGTTGCGGAACCGCTTGCTGACGAGCCTGCGCCAGCGGCCGCCATAGGAAGGGGCTGTGAATTATGTCGTAAAAAGTGTCGCTTGCTGAAAAGAAAGAAACGTGAAGTGAAGTGAAGGTATGAAGTAGTTGGCGAGGTATAAAATTGGGATAAAGTGACATCACGTGATGCACATGAGTCTTCACGATCACAAGAATCGCCAGCTCTGGACAGGACAATTGGCGTTTGGCAATCCCAACGTCTGATGATGACTGAAAATGAATGGAAGATACTCATGTTTATTGCGGCTTTGCAACATTTTTGGAGCTGCGAGTAGAGCAACGGTCCTGTCCATCACATCGAACAATCGAGGGGGGAGGTCGTGGGAGCATCGGGGACCGAAATGAACTGCTCGTTCTTCGTGCAGATGTCTTTTACATAAAAGTACATGGTGTATATACAACGCCCGGTAAGTGGCGACCGAAAGACCCTTCCTTCCAACAGCGCTGGTTCGTTTATTTCGGGAACTTGGTCCAGTTTCTCTTGCCCACCTGCAAAAGTTAGCTCAACTGTGAACATGGAAATCCAGTCGCTACCGGAGCAATTGCATACCTTCTTCCAGGCCTTGATAAGCTTGGGCATCTCCAGCATGGCTTTCCTCCTCTCCTCCATCCTAGACACAAATTTGTTAGCATCCGCCTCATCCCTCTTGGGTCCAGAGCCACGGCCACCACGTACTTTGCAATCATGTGTCTCTCGTGAATGTGTCCCTTGACCTTTTGTCCAACACCCGTGCCCTTGACCCTCAGACCATGCTCCACACGGTATGCCAGGCGGTATTCCGTGCCCTTGGTCGTCTCGGGCAAGAGCTCCTCGACGCCGTGCTCGCGCGCCAGCTGGACGAGCTCCGCCTGCCGCCGCTGCGAGTATACCGGGTCCTGCCACTTTCCTGTCACGGGATGCTTGTAGAAGCGGAAGGGGTTAGGCCGCTGCTCCTGATAGGGGGTCGGCTTGGCGGCGGCGCCCTCGGGGAGAATGGCGGCGGGCGGCCAGCGCGCGAAGAAGCGCTGAAGAGGAGACGGCAGCGTCTTGGCCAGCTGCACGAAGTGCGACGACGAAGCCATGATGGCGGCGACAGGCTGACTGCTTAAGGAACGTCGACGCGGGGTGTCGTATGTGCGCGCATCCGTGGGCGAGAGAAGGCGCCGGTGGATGAAGACTGCTTGGGATGAAGCTCCATCGACGGTAGTGAGCCACCGCTGAGCTGTCGAGGCTGCGGGATGACTTTTCTGCGGAGGCCTGATTGGCTGACGGCGAGTTGTCACAGTGCCCCACCACCAAGGTTCGCAGCCTCGCGCCAAGTACGCAGGCACATCCAGGAACTCTTGCTATTTGCAAAGGTGGAAATGTTCAGTTGCACAGGCGGGGGCTCTTTCAATGAGTTCACACCCGTGCTCAGGCGGCAGCAACAGCGGCAACGAGAGCAACAGCGGCAACGAGAGCAACGAGAGCAACGAGAGCAACGAGAGCAACGAGAGCAACGAGAGCAACGAGAGCAACGAGAGCAACGAGAGCAACGAGAGCAACGAGAGTAACGACAGGAACGAGAGTAACGAAAGCAACGAAAGTAACGACAGAAACGAGAGTAACGACAGGAACGAGAGCAACGAGAGCAACGAAAGTAACGAAAGTAACGAAAGCAAGGAGAGTAACGGCAGGAATAGTATGCCTGGGCTGTTTCACGGCGCAATTACCTATGCAACTAGCTATTTGTACCTTTTCAAATAGGAATATTTTATCGGGCATCTGATTGGCTGATACCTAGTTTTGCCCCACCTATGCCCCACCTTTAGGTTCGCAGCCTCGCAAACCTTACCTATGTATCCGTCCACTATATATGCAGGCCGGGCCTCTGTTCCTTCCTGCATCATCAACACACATCCAGCATGCCCCTCGACCTCGAGAAAATTCTGCAGGAGAAGAAGGCTGCCGACGCAGCGGCGGCGAGGCCGCGTTTCATCCCAAGAGCCGAACGCGAGCGTCTCGCCGCCGAAAAGCTGAAGAAGGAAGAGAGCGAGAAGAAGCGCAAAGCCGCCGAGCAGGAACGGAAGCGACGCGACGACGAGAAGAAGTGGGAGTCGCGTTCAAATGGCAGTGGATCTTCGTCTTCCGCAGTACCAACAGGGCCTCGCTCAATGAATCAGCAAGGCGACCGAGACCGAGACCGCGACCGCGAACGAGAGCGAGATCGCGACCGAGATCCCAAGGGCAGCGCAAACAAACCGAGCAAGGGCGACAAGCGTTCGGCCGAGGACATCGAGGCGGCACTGCTGCGGGCCCGGTACTTGGGGCCCGAAGTCAATAAACACTCCAACTTCTCCGCCAAGAAGAAACGGATGCGAACGACCGAGAAGAAGTTCAACTTTGAATGGGATCCGGACGACGACACCTCACGAGAAAATGACCCTCTGTACTCGCAGCAGACCGCTTACCGCGGCTATTCATTTGCTGGTGTCGGTGGCGAGTTCGACGAGGACGCAGAACGACGAGCACGCAAGCGAGCTCGCATGATCGAAGAGAGAGACCTGGAATTCGGCAAGGAGCGGGCAAAGGGAATAATGGAGGACTTCTATCGAGCCCGAGACAAGGCCAGGGAGAGGGCAGAGCGGACGGGTCTTGGCCGCCACTGGTCCGAGAAGCGACTCGAAGAGATGCGCGAACGCGACTGGAGAATCTTCAAGGAAGATTTCGGTATCTCCACGAAAGGCGGCAGCATACCGAACCCGATGCGCAACTGGGACGAGTCGGGCTTGCCCCCGAGACTTCTCGACATCGTGGATCGCGTCGGCTACAAGGATCCGTCGCCCATTCAGCGGGCAGCAATTCCTATCGCGTTGCAGGCTCGCGATCTGATCGGTGTCGCCGTCACCGGCTCCGGAAAAACAGCCGCATTCCTGCTACCCCTCCTCGTCTACATCTCCGACTTGCCGCCAATGACTGAGGTCAACAAGAACGACGGCCCCTATGCTCTTATTCTCGCCCCGACGCGAGAGCTGGTCCAACAGATTGAGACCGAGGCCTTGAAATTCGCCACGCCACTGGGATTTCGCTGCGTCAGCATCGTCGGTGGCCACTCCCTGGAGGAGCAAGCGTATGCTCTTCGTAACGGCGCAGAGATCGTTGTCGCCACCCCCGGCCGTCTGGTCGACTGCATCGAGCGCCGCCTACTTGTGCTTGGTCAGTGCTGCTACGTCATCATGGATGAAGCAGATCGCATGGTTGATCTCGGCTTCGAGGAGTCCGTCAACAAGATTCTGGACGCTCTGCCAGTCAGCAACGAGAAACCGGATACGGACGACGCCGAGAACGCGCAGATGATGAAGCGACACCTGGGTGGTCGCGACAAGTATCGCCAGACCATGATGTACACGGCGACTATGCCGCCTGTCGTCGAGCGCATCGCGAAGAAGTACCTCCGCCGCCCAGCCATCGCCACCATTGGCAATGCCGGCGAGGCCGTCGACACAGTCGAGCAGCGCGTGGAGCTCATATCTGGCGAAGACCGCCGCAAGCGCCGTCTACAAGAGATCCTGGCCTCGAAGCAGTTCGCTCCGCCGATTATCGTTTTCGTCAACATCAAGCGCAACTGCGACGCTGTGGCCCGCGACATCAAGTCCATGGGCTATTCCGCAGTGACCCTCCACGGTTCCAAGACGCAGGAGCAGCGAGAGGCCGCTCTGGGATCCGTTCGATCCGGGCAGACACAAGTCCTCGTCGCTACCGACCTAGCAGGCCGTGGTATCGACGTACCCGACGTCTCCCTCGTCATCAACTTCAACATGGCCACCAGCATCGAGAGCTATACCCATCGCATAGGCCGTACTGGCCGCGCGGGCAAGAGCGGTGTGGCCATCACGTTCCTGGGCAACGAAGATGCAGACGTGATGTACGACTTGAAGCAAATGCTCAGTAAGAGCTCCATCTCGAAAGTGCCTGAGGAGCTGCGACGACACGAGGCCGCGCAGTCCAAGCCTGTCCGCGGCGGCGCGTCCAAAAGGGACACGGCAGCTGCAGAGAAAGGAAGCGATGGTGCAGGGAAAGGGGGTTGGCAGTAAGCTGTAGGCAGGAAGATAGACATGTCCTTAATGAATGCAAGCAAGCGTTGAATTGTTCAAGGAGCCTGCTTGTGACACACATATATAGCGATTCCACCCTCTAGTGACTCTACCCTCAAGTACGATTAAGGATCGTGTTAAACCATAAGTTTTCCTATTTATCAGGTATATAGGTTATATAGATAGGCCCTTTTTAACTAATAAAGGAACGAAAGGAACGAAAGGAACGAAAGGAA